CCTGATGCCCACCCTGGTGCTCACCCCACAGTGCCACACACTGGCTCTCCTCCTCCAGGGCCACTCTGCCCCGTCCTCCTCAGGTTTCCTGGGATCTGTTGCAAGCATACCACTTGTCTCCAACTGCCCCAACTCCTCTCCTGCTGCGGGGACCCAGCGTCTGTGGAGGTACACCGTGGCTGTGACTGCACAGATCATCCAGCCTTCCGGACCTGAGTGTCGCCACTGGAGGATGGGGACGGAAGCCCTGCCTCGTGGTCATCAGGGGAGACGTGGCCCAGGAAGATGCAGAATGCTGCACAGAAAGGTGCCCAATGATGCAAAGGGAGCCCACAAACCCTGCAGGAGGAACAGGAGCTCCCAGGGCTGAGGGTAGGAGGTGGCCAGCATATGCAGAGGACATGGATGTGCCTGCAGCCCGGCAGGGTGGCCCCTGAGTAGAGGAAGAGGATGAGAGGACAGAGGCTTCCAAGGAGAAAGAGTTCAGTGTCAGAGCATCCCAGTGCCCTTGGCCAAGTCCTGAGGCCCTAAAAGTTGTTTGCTGAAATGCTCCCCTTGGTCAGAACGTTTGTATCCCGAGACCAGCCAGCTCTGGACTTTGTGCTGGTTCTAGGAATCAGTGTATGCCTGCTATTATCACCCACATTTTGTTAAACACAGGGCACATTTCCTTTTCATAACTTCTGGTTACTTTGTATTCTAGATGATGCCAAGTGGGCATGTCCTCTGTCATTCTTGTAGAGAATGGCCATGTTTTCAGGTGTGGATTCTCAGGGCTCACCAGCCCTGCTGACCCCGTGGACCACCCCTTTCCCGTCACACTGTGACCGCAGGCATCCCGTGGGCAGGGAGGTGGCAGGTTGTGCCTCTCCAGCATGAAGCTGCTGTGCTCCATGTACCTCAGGGGGCAGTGTCTGCTGAGTGTGACTAAGAGCACGGAGCCCCAGATACCAGAGTCCATCCAAGAGGCCTCTATATTTGGGGTGGGGTCAGAGGGTGTCACAGCACAGGCCCTGGATGGTGGACCAGAGTGTGTCCCGCTGTCCATCCTGTGCTGAGCCTCCTCCCCGTGGGCCTGCTATCACCTTGGACCCGGACCCTCTTCCCCTGTCCTGGAATGTCCCTGAGCATTCCTGGGAGCAGGGCAGCAGCAGGGGCTCCTAAACAGGGAGCACAGACCCTGCCCTGCAGGCCTGCTGTCACCAGCTGGCACGTGGCTCTTTATGTCCCCCAGGCACCAGACAGTCTTTCTCAGGTAAGTCTTCCAACAGCCAACAAGGGAGACCCAGTGATCGGTTCATTTCACAGGTGGGGAATCTGTTGGCATAAAGATGTCCTGGGGTGACCAGCCAGAGAGAGGGTGAGCTGGGTCTAGGACCCCCCATCTGCCTGACGCCGGATCACTTCTAACCACCGTTCCACATGCAGCCTCCTGGGGTGGGGGACCTGGCTTCCCTGGCCTCTGTACCCTCTCAGGCTTCAGCGCCCTCTGAGCTCAGGGGGCATGACCTTGGACACTGGAGGCCCTCTGAGCCCTGGGGTCAGGCTCTCCCTCCTGCAGGGCCAGGACGTCTCTTTAGGGCCCCTGCGGCCTCCGCTTGCTCACACCGGCACCAGGGCTGGTGGTCACCAGACTAGAAAGCCTACAGTCTGCTGGGGACCAGGGCCATCTCCACAGTGTGTACATTTGCATGTTCTCATCGTGCCACACACTCCCAGTGCTCCTTGCCTCTCATTTGGAATTGCCTGGGTTGCCCTTTGTCCCTTTTCACAACATTGGCTTTTGGGAGTCAGTGGGCCGCTGGGATGTCACACGTGTCCCTGCGCTTGGGTTGGGGAATGACTTTTGCACTTTGTGATTTGTCTTTCCAGCTTTCTACATTTTTCTTGTTATTGTTTTGGCCACAGGAAGAGCCAGACTTTGCCCTTTGGCTTCTAGCTCTGGTGTCACACTTAGACCAGGAGTCTACCAACAGATTGGGCACGTATTTACTAAGAGGTCTTCATTTTAGGCCCTTAACCTTTAACTCATCTGGATGTCCCATTCCAGTAAGAAAAGTGCTACTTCAAATATTAAACAGAAATCAGCCAGACCCTTCATAAAGCATGTGGGCAGACACAAAAGGCACCAGTTGCTTGATTCCGTTGATGGGAAGCATCCAGACTAAGAGGAAGGAGCAGAGACAGAAAGCAGACTGGGGGTTGCTGGGGGCAGTGGTGAGGACTCTGGGGCACGAGGGCCCTGGGACGAGGTTTTCTCTGGGGAAGGAAGTGCTCTGGCCTGGACGGTGGTGCTGGCTGCACACACACTGACTGTACCGAATGCCCGCGATGCTTAAAGTTCAAAAAGGTAAAAAGCACCACTTTCAATTTATTTAATTAAAATCTAAAAGAAACAAAACGATAGAAAACATAAAACAGAAAGAGCAAATTGAAACTAACCCAAAGAGTAACACTCACGGAAGGAAAAGGAAAGATGTGGTAGGGGATCAGGTGGACGGAGTGGCTGGGGAGATGCTAGCAGGGAGAGTTCCAGAGCCAGCTTTCTGGTCAGGGTCAGAGGATCAAAACAGGGCCATGGGCACCATGCAGGTGCCAGAACAGCAGCGGGGGTCAGCCCAGCCTGCAGGGGAGCGGGGTCCCGCATCGGCTCCCGGGCCCCTAAAGGGGCCTCCCCAGATGCCAGCCCAGGTGCCAGAGCAGCCTGTGGAGGGGGCCCTGTGGCTGGAGGTGGACCTTCCTCAGGCTCTGGAGCTGCTGTGGCACCTGCACGGACACCGGCTCCTCTGAAGGTTCAGCACCAGGATCCTGAGACGGGACCAAAGCTGTTAGAGGATGAGTGGTCACCCCAAGCCTGCCTCGGCACGTGCCTTTCCAAACAGAGGCTTCCAGGGAAGCCCAGGCCAGGAGCCCACATGGGATATCTCCCCAGCTACATCCACCAGGGCGTGGTCTGAGGCCTGCCTTTGCTCCTGGCCTGGGAGCAACCTCTAGGCCTCCTCCCCATGGACCCAGCACCCCCCCACCTCCATCCCAGGCCCTCTCACACACCCAGCCCAGTCTTCTCACCCTCAGGCTAGGCCTCCAGGGACTGCAAGTCCTCCAGGCCACTCGGGTGGAGATGAACCTGGAGCAGTGGGTCAGAGCTGGCAACGTGCAGCTGCATGTAGACTTGGGCCAGACTCTGGGCGGGTGGCCTTCCCTGGCCATCTTCAGGACCGGGTTCCAGAGAGCCCTCTGTGATGTGCCACACTGGCCTCTCATGGGGGGAGCAGGGGTGCAGGTCCCCCAGGTCCTCAGTCTTCCTCAGACACAGACACAGACACCCGTGGGTTGAGATGGCTCCAGGGCTCAGGACAAACCATGAGCAGAAAGACCTCCCCGCACCCCGCCTTGACCTGAAGTGTGGGCAGGACCAGCCCCTGTGGATTGTGAGCCTCACCAAACGCTCCTTCTCGGGGTGGCACACCCCACAGGAACCCCATCTACACACACACACAAACACTCACACCGGAGGGGAGACCCAGGATACCCCAAGAGGATCAGAGTGGAGGCCTGACCAGACCGCCCCATGTTACCTTTGGGACCCTCTGGGCACTTGGCCTGAGGTGTCTGTGCTGAGCCCTGACCCAGTGCCTGAAGCACTGGATGAGACCCTCACGGTGGGGCTCTCCTCGGGCCACGGCTTTGGGATAACGGGAGGCAGCATGAGAACATGGTCATGTCCTTGCGTCTCCAGCCAAGTGAGCTGGGGACTGGGCTGTGTTTAGAATGTGGTGAGCGGTTACCTGGGTCCCAAGTTCTGTTGACCTCTATGGTCAGGGAAGTGAGGTCACTTCCTGGAGTCCCCTTTCCTGGGCTTCCTGCTCAGATAAGTCCTCCCCGAGGATCCTGCTGGGATGCTGGCCACTTTCCCTCCACCCCGGGCCCTGTCCAGGAAAGCCTGGGTACCACCAGGGCCCCAGTTTGAAGACAGAGCTGCAGTCTAACCCAGCTCCTCCCTGTATCTACATGTACTGTCATGTGCCCTTACAAAAGGCCTGTGTCTCTCAGTGCCTCCCCAGTGTCCCCATCTGCACAGAGGTTCACTGTGTCACATGCTCCTAGGATGTCAGGTGTGCAGACCTGTACACTCCTGGAGCACCTGCTGTCTGTCACCTGTGGCTGGTGCACACACTCAGCAAGGGCAGAACAACATAGCGGGGTTGGGGGAGCCCAGAGTGCAACTCAAACAGGTCTGGGCACACTCAGGGACCTAGGTGTCACCTCCCCTCCTGTCCCCAGTTCCCTGGAGGGTGAGAGAAATGAAATGCAGACACGGTCCCCTCTGACACACACATTCCAGGGTCTCCACTAGGTTCAGACTCAGGTCCAAGTGGCTATCTCAGTGTGTGGAGGCGGCAGCCGCGGGGACGCCCCCAGTGGCGCCCCCTCCTGGTCCTCGTCCTCATGCCTCCCCCTCCCACCTAGGGCGGATGCACTCTGTGGCTGGGTTCTAAGGGACAGCAAATGGCCAAGTGAGCGGGCGGTGCTTCCAGACTGGTTATGTTAATTCCCATACGATTATAAAGACTATGTGCGATGAGGTGTGCTGAGTGCTGGGCATAAAATAGGCACAGGGATGCTGTGTGTGTTAATGTGCTCTAGGCAGAACAAAAGATGAACCCGCTGTTCCAGACAGCTGGGAAACCATTTTTCTAATTTTGTATCTTCCCCTCTTATTTCCTCTTCCCTGAGCACCTGAAAGGGCTGCCTGGAGTGTCTCTGTGGAGATCAACCTTTGACTCAGCCTCCCGTCCCCAGAGTGACCTCCTGGGCTGGTCCCCCCTGGGCTTTGGGATTCTGGGCAGTGGGTGTCAGAAGGTTATCCAGCAGCCCCACCCGGGCTGGCTGGGCAACTGGTTGTGATTACAGAGACCACTCAAACTTAAATAAGGCCGGGCTGTGATGAGAGGCAGATTTTTGCTCCCCCTTCTTTGGAGGAATGGCTCTGCCAGGCAGGCTGAGAAGGTGTATGCCAGGCTCCTGGCCTGAGCTTCTCTGGAAAGCTCCATGATGGCTGTGTGTCTGGAGAGGTACATGCAAAGGCAGGCCTGCGGGTGGCCTTTCATCTTGCAGCCCCAGCCCCATCTCAGGAATCAGTGCTGGCTCCAGATCCTGCCAGGCTAAGGGGTCTGCGTGTGACACAAAACATAAAAAAAAATTTATTTTTCCAATCTGTGAAAACAAGCCTCAGAAAATTATACCCCAGGCAGCTTAACTTTTTGAAATTTCGTATCAAGGCAGGTTGTCAGAGACCAAGTTATAACATTCTGGAATACAGGTTGCTAATGGTCACAGTCTCACCACCTCAGTACACTGGCACTGCAACTGTGACCTACCTTGCAGCCTCCAGCAATCTGAACGTATTCGTGCTCTTTGTATTCTTGGGGGAGGTTGTGTATTTTCCTCAGTCCTTGTACCCAACGCAACAAAGAATTGAAGGGCAGAGACACAGTAGTGAAGCAGAGCAACCTCAGCAAGGAGAGGCGCCCTGAAAGGTTGGAGAGAGAAAGTTTAAGATTAAAAGGTTACACACTTAGAAAGTGCGGGCAACCTCAGAGAGAAGAGTGCCCCGAAAGGTAGGGGTTCCCCTTTTATGGCTTCTTCAGGAATATGACTAAGGCCTGGGGGTGCAGACCTGTTAAGTGGTCTTTGAATACTTAGAATTAACCTAACACAAGGAACTTCCTGCTCTGATTTCTCCCTGCCATGAGGGCATCTTGGTCTGGGAGCATATCAAACAGACTGCCTGCCCAGCCCCCAAGGTGGGCTGAATTATTGTCTGTTTGCTAAAGAATCTTACTTCTTAACTTCCTGGGTATTAAAATACAACCTTTAAGATGGAATCCTTCCTGCTTTTTACTATGTTGTTTATGGCTGGGCCAGCATGCTACATTAATTGCGTGGGTTACAAACTACTTAATTAGGGCCGGAAGGAGAAAAAAACAGCATACAGGTAAAGGCAAAATAATAAGCTTGGCCTGCATGATTAACACAGGAAAGCCATGGGCTATGCTGAGGTACCCTCCTTTATCTGGGGAGTATTCAGACATTCCAGGCCAAGCTGCTCCTGGCTTTTTGAGCTTTAATTGATAAATTCTGGGTCTTTTTAGTCCACTTTACTGGCCTTTTTCTCTTTCCACCCTGCTCATATCTATTTTCCTGCCTAACACTAACATCCAAAGCTATTGTTCTTACTGAATTTCGTTTTTCAATGTAGGAAAGATTAAAGAAAGAAAATAGAGCCAAAGGAAACCAGTGTTGAAAGAAATATGAAAAATGTTTACAGCTTTTTCTCAGGGTTTTTTTTTAGTGATTATTGCAAAAGGGAGAATATGGATAATTTTTTAGGAAAACTATTTCATGGAAAATAATACTAGAATCAGACAAAATTTTGTAATTGTAACTGTTAAAGACATATTCCTGTCTTGCCCACTCTTAAACATCATGAATGTACAGGTTTGAGATATACTCTTTACTGAAGAGATAGATAAGTGGAATGCCCAGCATATACAGTAAAAGTCACTTAGATCAGGGATTGGCAAACTTCAGTGAGTATCTGCTTGTGTACCTGCTCACTTTGGGGATGTTATTAGAATGCAGATTGGATTCGGTAGTTCAAGGATAGGGCATGAGCTGCAGCATTTTCAGCAAGCTCCCAGGTGATTGCCCCTGCCACTGGCCTACTTACCACACTCAAGAGTAGCAAAAGCTTTATTCCTGGCTCTGCAACTGAGCCTGGTATTATTTGCTTTTGCAACCTTTCTCTCTGTAAGTGTTAGGAAAGAGTATAAAACCTAAATGTGATTTATTCCCACTAGGATGTTTAAACGTTTTAAAAGGAAGGTATTAACAAAGGGCCACGTGGTGGAAGCTGCTCAGGCTGAGTGGGGGTGGGAGAATTGATAAGGGCCTGGGATACCTATTTGAGTTTTTTTCTTTTAACCTACCAATAAGATTAAGACAAATGTAAAGGAAAGATATAACTGGCTTAGGCGACATCCGGGAAAGAATGTGAACCCTGTAGTACTCAGCCAATGAGGAACCAGGGGAGGGACTAGTGCACTAGGAGATAAATTATTGGTGCCAAACTCCCCAGGTGTGCCTGCCCACCAGACACCCGATCTTGCAAGACTGTCATTAAAGCCTCTCTCCGCTGTTCTCTTTGTCTCTGTGTCCACTTATTCAATATGGACCAGTGTGTTTCTCACAATTTGGGGGCTTGTCCGGGATCCTCTTGCCTGTGCGAGGTGGGGGCCCAAGTGGAGTGGGAAGATGCGTCCCGCCCAGTCTGGGCACCTCACCTTCACACGGAAGCTGAGGTGCCCAGTCTGGGCACCTCACCTTCACACAGAAGCTGAGGGGAGACCTGAGACTGTTGTGCGGAGACAGCGTGACCGACGCAGGGGAGCAAAAGCGGGCACCGCGGCAACCAGGCAACCTCGTGCACGAGCCAAGGTAGAAAAATTGGGCTAAAGGTACTGCCTTGGTGGTTGGGCATTTTTCAGAGGTCGAGTGTGTGTGGCTGAGACGTGTAATCTCAGGGTGTGTGCAAGAAACTTCCATTATGGGGGGCTGAGTACACAGGGAACTCAGACACAGGGACCTCTTGAAGGATGGGAAATACAAATTCTAGGCCTAGGGAAGCAGAGAAAGGGAACCAGATGAGCTCCCTTGGAATTCCCCCCAGATAGCCTGCTGGGGTGAAGGTTACGGTACTGGGGGGACGCCTCCCGTACCAGGTTAAGGACAAACAGAAAATAATGAAATTTTGCTGTTTTGTCTGGATTAAAGTTAGATCAGATGAAAACTGGCTTTGCCAGGTTTAAGTTACTTTTTTTTATAGTAATAAAGCCTCCAGTTCACCTGAGGAATCTGTTGGTTACCAAGGGCGCTTCCCCCATTTCCCCTAACACCAGTGAAGGGAAAGCTAGGGAGGAACTATAAGAGACTGCCCAGGACAAGCCCTGGTCTGGTGTTGGGAGAGCATTGTGTGTTTCCCTCGGTCCCTTTCCCCACCGCAGCCACGGCGGAGAGTTGAGAGGCAAGGACATGGCGGTGAGGAGTGAGAGTTTTTTTGGAGTTACTGGGGGAGAGAGAAAGTGCAGGCAGCCTTGGCAGGGAGGGGCGTCCTGGGAGGTTGGAGGGAAAGTTTGAAGTTAAAAGGTTGTGCACTTTGAGGGTGCTGGCGGCCTCGGAGAGAGGAGCGCCCCAGGGGTTGAGGGTTCACTTTTTAAGGATTCTTTAAGGGTGTGGCCAGGACCTGGAGGTGTAGACTTGTTAGGTGGTCTCAGGTGTCTTTGATGAGACATTGTATTTCTTATCAGGCCTCTGGGTAATTCTGCAAAATTAGGGTAACACAAGAAATTTACTTCTTTTAGTCCCCTCCCAGGATAGCAACTTCCTGGTTTGGGAGCATATCAGGACTGGCTGCCCTTCTTCCAAGGGGGGGCAGAGTTATTGTCTGTTTGCAAATGTGTACATTGAGAGTCTTGCTTCTTGACCTCCTGGGTATTAAAATGCAATCTTTGGGGTGAAATCCTTCCTGCCTTTTGCTATGTTGTTTACTGCTGTGCCTGCATGCTAAATTGATTGCCTGGGTTGCAGACTATTCAGTTGGGGTTGGAAAGAAAAAAAAAGCATATAGGTAAAGTTGAAAAAGAAAAGAGGCTGGGCCTGTATAATTAGCATAATAAGGACAGGCTATGCTGAGGTACCCTCTCCTTTATCTGAAGAATATTCAAACATTCCAGGCCAAGTTGCTCCTGTCTTTTGAGCTTTAATTAATTAACTCTGGGTCTTTTTAGTAGACTTTCCTGGCCTTTTTCTCTTTCCACCCACTCATCTATTTAACATTGGGACCCACTTTCTTGTCTCCCTCCCTGTGAGTAAAATTGTAACATTTCCAGAATATCTCACCTGGGTTTGGCATATCTGCATATCAACAGGTATTCAGAGGTGGAAAGGCATTTGGCTTTAGTGCATTTGCAGCTTTCCTTGGGTAGGGAGAAGTTCATCTCCATATCAATGGGTAATTACCTGGGCAATGGAGGGCTATTCTGTATCTGAGAGGTGAGGGGGAGGGCCGGTTTTTGGCTAACGGCTAGAACCTGAAAGAGAAATGGCCCCAGACTGCAGCTTGTGAACAGTAAATAGATTTTAAACTTTATTTCTCCCTTTGACTGATTTCAGTTTTTAGAGGTATTTTGCCCCAAGATTTCCTCTCCCCGGACTTAACAATGTAAAAAGGACTTAGAGTTTCCCCTTGCCTTCTGAGGAGTCCACCAGGAATCCCAAGATGTTTCCATTGAGAGAGGTCCCGCTAGGACAAGGGGAAATTTGTTAATGCTCCCCTCACAGGTACTGAGGTGAGAAATTTAAAGCATTGCTAGAAGGTTCCCTTGGCCTAGTGGACCAACTAGATCAATTCCTGGGACCTAATATATATACTTAGGTTGAACTGATATCCATCATGAATATCCCATTCCCTGGTGGTGAGAGGGGGGTGCTCAGGAGAGCTGCTGTGTCCATTTGGGAACAAAAACACCCACCAGGCCAGGGTGTCCAGTCAGCGGAACAAAAGTTCCCAAATGTAGATCCTAGATGGGATAATAATAATCTAGGGGATAGAATTAAAATGCAGCCCTTCGAGGGCTAATTATAAAGGGAATTAGGGAATCGGCCCCAAGATCTCAAAATGTTTCTAAGGTGATTGAAGTTCAATGGGAAAAGGAAGAACCCCCAACTGCATTTTCATAGAGACTCAGGGACCAGATGAGAAAGTATTCAGGACTTGACCCAGAAGCTCAGGTAGGACAAGGTCTTTTAAAAGTCAATTTTGTAACCAAAAGTTGGCTAGATATTGCTAAGAAATTACCGAATTTAGATGGATGGAATGAGAAGCCTATGAAGGAATTACTGAGAGAAGCTCAAAAAGTGTTTGTTAGAAGAGAGGCTAGAAGCTTGTATTTCAGATTGTGAGAGGGAGAACCAGACAGACATTCTCCAGTGGACCCCAGGGGAACTGCAAATTCTAGAGGAATTGAAAATCCTTAGTCACCGCCCCAGTCCTGGCACCCCCATCAATAGAGAAGCCGTTTCACTAGTTTGTTACTGTTGAACAAGGTTCTCT